ATAAGAATTATTTTGAGTAAAGTTTTTCACATAGAGTGTCATCTTTTTCTGAACACCTATGTGTTTCTCCCAATGAATGATAGGATTAGAAACAAGATAATTCTGTCAACAATTTTCCTTTTTTTGTTGTTCAAAACATGCGAGGAACAGTATTTTGAAAAAGCATTAGTCGATGCGCCTTTATCAGACGAATTGAACGATGTATTTTTTTTCTGCAAATGGAGCATGTCTTTCCAATCAAATCATTTTCTTTTAAAAATCTTCAGGTAAATATGTTTGAATGGCAGCAGTAGGAGAACAGCATAGTGGAGTAGAATGAAAAGCAAGCTTGAAAAGAAAAAGAAATTGAGTAGCTCATAAATTTCTTGGTTGTCATTAGCCAACAGGTGATTAATTTTTTTAATCCATATATGTCAGAGTTGGCATGGAAGTTTCAGTTGATTGAAATGCTCTATATAATTAAGAAAAACCAAAAGGACTTTTTTCTCTTATATATATTCAGTTGAGTTTGGTAAGTGCGCAAAATAGAAAAAATCTCTTAGAAAAAAACTCATAATAAGAATAAAGTTTTACAAACCAGATGAAGTGATTAATTTAGGCGAGAGTTCACAAAATCAACTCATATTAAACTCCATTAATGAAAATAAACTATAAACGTTTCTAGGTTTTTTTTTATTGTCGTATGGGAAAGTGCAGTCGAAAATTCATCGAAAATAATTATGCATCATATACCATTGAGTATAGTATTCAGACAACAAATTTAGCTTTCAATTTCATTAGTGCTTACAACATTTTATTACTCTTTAAATGTCATAAATGTAAAGCAAACATGTGGTACAATATACATGTGTTCTTAAACCCTATTCAACCCATACCTGTTCATCTAAAAAAAACTATCAATTTCTTTTTTTAAATTTCATTAATCATTCAATGTTTCCATGTCTCCATTATTGGAAAAATTATTATGAAATTTTATACTCATTCTAGAAAAACAAACGAAATTCTCACTATTATAACAATGTTTCTAATTTTATATCTGAACGATATTTCTTATGAGAAAATTATAAAAACCCTATTCCAATTTCAACTAAATTCCAAAGCCACCCATAATGTATACGTGAAACGAACGTTTCAACCTATTATATGCACTCTACGTCATCTCTGTCCCTCCCAGTACAACACATGATCTGATATTTGACGCACAGAAAAGATTGATAATCGGCTTTTGATATTAATATTGATAATAAATTCATTTACGCCTATCTAATCAGGACACGGATCCGACAAAGATGTATCTGCCTACAGGCATTCTCCGACAGAGAATAATCATGGTATATATATATGAAATACTCTCTCTTATGTTCATATCTACAACGCATCTACAAACATAAATGAATAACAGTAGCAGTAACAGCATCAATTTTCCTCCTAGTGGTGGCGGTGGAATGGACCCTCCTGGTGGCAACGGTGGAATACGTCCTCCTGCTGGTGGCGGTGGAATGGGTCCTCCTGGTGGTGGTGGTGGAATGGGTCCTCCACCGGACTTTGGTTCAATCTCGATTACAGCTATCCAAAGAAACTTGGTTTTCTACGGTTATATTCTTCTTTTCCTCTTTGGCTTTTTCGGTCATGCAGCAAGTGCCACCATCTTTCTTCGTCGAACTCTTCGCACGGTTTCGACGAGCTGTCTGTTCGTATGTATGGCTGGGTCCGATACAATCTATTTGTTAATGTGTATTTACGATTTTATTTTTCTTGGTCTTGGTGTTCCCACAACAAATATCAATCTTATGAATGCATTGTGTCGTTTTCGTTCATTTGTTCAATATTTTTCTATGTGCTATTCCGCTTGGCTCCTATTATCCATTACAATCGATCGATGGCTTCGTGTTCAATTCCCTTTTCGAGTCAAAGAATTGTGCACGACAAAAAGAGTACTTATTGGTGCATTCATTATTCTCATGTTTTCTGTTACACTCAATTCTCATTTACTGCTACCATCACTGGGCGTTGTACCGGGCGCTATCGCATGTGCTCCCGGTCCTATGTCAAATCCTACTTACCAATACTTCTACATGGAAGTATGTTTCTTTTTTTGAAATTGTCGTAATTAACAACATATTGATCAATTCTTTTCAGATCTGGCCTTTTCTAATAACCAGTCTTCAAATTATTTTACCCACAATACTTCTTCTCATATTCAGTATTAAAATATTCCTTGAGCTTCGTCGTCAACAACAAAAAAAACATCAATTGAAACAAGGTCATCGCCGTACTTTTCTCGATCGACAAATATTAATAATTATGCTCACTAGTATATTTCTCTTCTTTGTCACACAAATCCCATTAAGTCTCTTCTATATTCTTATGTCTTCTGTTCTTCGAAATGAACTTGGACTTGAACAACTACTTCAGCTTAATACTATTGTCACTTTCGTTGCTTCGATCAATTATGCTGTAAGTTGAATGTTAGTTTCTGAATCTCTTTTATCATACTACACTTTTTAAGGCTTCATTCTATATTCACTGCTTATCAAGTCGACTGTTTCGGGAAGAATGTTTTAATGTAATACATTGTAAACGACATCAACGTGTAGGTGTTATAACACAAATGTTGGGCCTTGAAGGATCTCATACACAAACTCAATTATTCCATTGGGAAGGAGGAAAATCTACGAAAGCATAGACATTCTATTTTTTATGGAATTCTTTTTTTTAAAACTACAATAAAATTTTAAAATTATTGTCAATTTTTTTCTATTAAATTCAAAATTGACCAATACTTATCCGTTTATAAGTGCGAATCTGCTTGGATTCTCAATGGTATGAATACATGGAGTAAAATAAAAGGAAGAGATCGCGAGAAAAACGGTGCAGAGCATGAACCACTATCGATCACTAGTATTGTCAATCTGATCATATCTTTGGTGCAGAAAAACTCAAACAACATGGTACATTAAATGTCCACAACTTAGTGGTCGATAGGTTGAATAACCTCAGGAAAAAAAGTACAATGTCGATCTGATGCCGATAGGGTGGGTGTGAGTGTGAGTATGACCTTTTCTTCATTGACATCCACACTCACACACCCTCCTCCATCCAAGTTAGTCAGTGTGAAAGTTTGAAATTTAAAATTTTACTGTTCATTGTTCGTTACTTCGTTCATTTGATTTAAAAAGAAGTTTCACTTAAAGTTTGTACTTTTTGAACAAAAGCATATAATGACTTTTTAAGTGACAACAAGCATTATCTTGTTTCATTGATCTGCGAAGAATCATTTCTGTCTCATTCACGAAGTTTTGATGTCCATCGTTTTTTAAGAACGAGCTCAAAAAACGACTGACGTGAGTCTCGTTGTCATAAGTCAAAAACCTCGTTCAAGCATTATAATAGATCTTGTATTTGAAAAGATAGATTCGAACCGAAATTTCATTTATCTTAGTCGAAAGCCTAAAAGTGAAATACATAATTCGCATTCAGCGAACTAAAATTCTCATCGAAATTAATCACTATTTCGTTCGAATGTGGCAAGTCATTTATTCTCAAGCTTCCGTAGCCACTTGGATTAGATGGAGCATTCTTGAAAACGACACTTCTGCACCATTTGATTTTTGGTCTATTACATGTCACATGTTTCAACATCAAATTCTTTGTGAACAAATAATTAAGTAATCAGAAAAAAGATGTCCGTACTAAGCAGAACAGATGTTTTCGTAATATCTTCATTTGAATGGATATTTCAGAGGTGTTTTCAATCATCTTAACAATCAGTATAGTGAGAACAAGTGAAAATTTAACAGTACGAAACATCATAATGTCCTCTTCTACAGAGAATAGATCTGTTTGTCACACCATATTTATTGTTCTGAGCTATATTGTCTACATCAAAATGCAAATGACAGAAGTCAATGAATGATTATCGGACACACGAGGAATATATTGTTGAATTTCGTCCAGAAAACAAAGATAAGTACTTAGAGTCAATGGTTTTTGTTGACTCTCGACAGATATTTCATCTTTTAATTTTTGAAACATTGATTCTCGATTCGTCATGCACATTGTATACACTTGATGCAGTAGACGCCCATTCATAGTAGAAAATGCCGGAAGAAAACTTTCGAGATTTTTGTGGCGAAGAAACGATTTGACATGATCGTTTGTCCATTGATCAATACAATGTGGTAAATCTCTTCAAAAGTACGAAAAATAATATAAGAAATTTTCCGTATCTGCAAATGAAAATAGTAAAACGAGTTCTACTGAATTTATAACTGAAAATCGAGAATAATTTCGTCTCGCTTGCGAGATAGCTTTTTCTACGGCCGACTATGGTTTGAATATTTACAGGTTTTAATCGAATTTATAAAGAGAACAGGTAGCTTAGACTTGTCTTTTACTTGCTGTCTGACAATTAGTAGCATAGGTAACATACTTTGTTGTTGTTGGTTGTTCATGTGGTTGATTTGTTATCGTTTCGATTGTTCTTTCAGATGTTACTGTCGTAGGCGACTCATATCGATGTTGTTCTTGAGTTCTGATTGAAAGATTCAAGTTCATCCTATGTCGATCGATTTCATTTTTCAATTTGAGATAGGCTTGATCGAATCCGAGTTTGGGAAAATCCACATAAATTTTTCCACTGACCATAATGCCCAACCATCCATCGGGTCGATAGTTTTGTTTCATCACAATCGGTATCAAGTGACATTGACGTTCATAGGCATAATGAGCTTCAGATTGACAGTAAGCGCTTTGTTTATAGGCATCCGACATGCACACGAACACAAATTCAGCATTTTCTATAGCATCAGCCATGGCAACCATTGTCGATCCATGTATTTGATCTCTATCAAGCCATACACGAAAGTTATCGTTTACTAGACGATCACAAATTCGATGACAAAGATCTGTGTCACGGTGAGAATAGCTCAACATGATATCGTATTTATAGTTGCGAACACCCTTTGTCATAGAAATGGTGACTAACTTCGCCGTTGCTGTTTCTTCTTTTTCCAGTTTCCAAATCAGACCTTCGGCAGCCCGTCGTAAACCTTGCTCAGTTGATGAATTGATCAATGTATGAAGATGTGAGATGAATTGTGAATTTTCCTTAAGGAATATTGCCGCTTGATTATGAAATGTCAATGCAAGAAGAATTTCGAGTGTCGGTTGCTGTTCTTGTACAGGATCAAATTTTGTTTCTGTTGCACATCGACAAAGATGAGGCAATATACTCTGTTTGGTCAATTCTTCTTTGATTTGATCATGTTGAACCAAACCTGCATAAGAAATCCGTCACGATTGAATGAAAAAAAGACAGTAATCAATCTATTTTCTCAGTTTAGTTTAGAAAAAAAAACATATCTCTCGTGAGTTCAGAAGGAAAAAAGTGTACGTACTCTTGAGGCAACGAAGTAGATTTCGAAGTCGTCGGATTTTTCTCGCATTATCGATTACATCGGTGAGAAATTTGATAAAGACATTTGCAATTTTGCTTGGATTTGCTAACATCTTAATATCTTGTTCGGTCATGATTGAAGCTAGAATACGATAAGCATTAAACTGTGCTTCTTCATTGTCAATATCGATCAATCGTAACAATATTGAAGATAATTGTTGACTTTTAATATAATCAAGTAGACTCTGTTCTAGTGTCAATGCATATAAATGAAACATACAAATTCCTATTAAATCGATAGTTGATTCATCCATCGTATTTATGTTGTTTGATAATGTGGATAAAATGAGAATATAGCTATCAATGATTTTGCAACAATCATCGTACATTTCTTTACCGATGATTTTCTCATTATGCGAACCAAAATCGAATATAATACCACCAAGTTTATCAAAGGAATTTTTAGTTATTCTATTCCATTGTCGAAAAGATAATGCATGCTGTTGTAACCATTGTGTGAAAGGTTTCAATAGAATTGTGCGAACAATAGAAAATATCTCATGACGACGATTACCTTCATAGCAAACAATATAATCAGTACATGTATTCAACAATAATTCTTGTGCATCGTTGAGTTCACTTAGTTCAGTTATTTGCTTAAACATGTTGACAAAAAATGGCGAGCATACACATTGAACTGTGGCATCCAAAAGCGGCTCGGATAAGGGATTATTTTGAATATCGAGTCGACGTCTAGAAAGTTGATTAATGGCTTTGATCATAGAATCGACAGCATTTATATGAATATCTTGTAAATATTTCCCATTTGTTGCAATCTCGATAAGACATCCGCTGAGCTCATCGATAAGAGACTGATGAATTAGAAGCTGTTTAAATGAGCTAACATTGGCTTCAGTAATATGATCAGTCATAAGTGCGAATAAAATTGAGACTCGAGAGAAAACTGTCCAAGACATTTGTTCGACTGATTGACCACTTCGCCATTGACATAAAATGTTCAGATAACAGTCACGAATGTTTGAAAATAGCGGATGATCAACGACAATAGATTCGCTGTAAATATTGGTATCATCGGTCGCAATAGATGCCAGAATTTGTTGGATTGCATTAATATTGTTTGGAAATTTGAAATTTTTCAATTCAGTAAAAATGACGTCACAACATTTCTTGAGTTGTTCAATAGTTAGTGAGGTGGTTTGGTTTTTTATCAAAGCACATTGCTGGTCAATAATCATGGATCCACTCATTATATCATGAATTGATTTTGTCTCAGTTCAAACTTTTTCTTTGACAAAATGAGAAAGGTATGTGCACGCTGTAAACAGTGTCTCGTCGGTGTTAAACGAAAAGAAAAGAAAAGAAAAAGAAGAAGAAAATGTTTAAAAAGCTGTTTTCATCAACACAGTACCATGATGAATGACATTGAAGAAAAAAAAGTTACTGTTGTTGCTGCAGCTGTTTTTTAAACAAGAACAACATTTTGTTGCTATTGCTGTTGTCATGCAATGGAGTGATGCACAGAGTATCTCAATGTCATAAATAAATATTGCCATAAAGATAATAGAAACGTTTCAGTTGAAATGAATAATGCTGCCAACAAGAATTAGCAACACAGAATATGATTTTTGTTCAGAAGAATTCTGATTCAGAATCTTTCTGTTACATGAGCAAATTCAATTCGTTGACGGATTCGACATTTCGGTTGATGATATATATCTTGTTTTCGTGTTATAAAAGATCAAACTTCAGAGAGCTTACCCGATACCAACAATAAGTTCATTTCTATTCGCTATGTAAATAAAACATTCTTGTCTTCCTCATTTCACCAGACTAGATCAAAATTTTATTGCTGCTTTTTTTCTGCAGTACAGATATTCAAACTCTTGTGACTTGAATGTTTCTCTCAGCCCATGTATATATAATATGAATGATACAGCAAACATCATAATGCTCGAAGTGCGATTTCTAAACAAACCGTCTGCTAAAATTGCAATTGGAGAATGTGTTTTCTGTGTTTATACAAAAAACGTTCGATAAAGTTATGAGCATCTAATCTAAAACAACTTCCAGTGTAATTATTGTGAGATTAGAATAGAAATCATGATAGATCTGCTCCATTAGTTAATGAATCATCTTGCCATTTTAGTTTTTTCAGGATTTTCCCACTTCCATATATTAGACTGAAGTATTTCTCGCATCAAAAGATTTCGCAAAAAATCCTTATCAAAAGGTGTACTTTTTCCAACGAATGTAGTCTTTTATATTTTTTTAATGAAATGTAACCACACAATGGAATAAACTACCGAATGTAACCAGTTTTTCTTGTTCAACCGTTTTCACAATGCATTTTACTTCTTCTATTAGTGCTGCCTTGATTTTTATACGGTCCTAGTTGATTGTCTGTGTTAGTTCGTCTCATGTACTACACAAACAAAAAAGAACATTCTGTACATTCAACGTCAAAAATGAGCTATGAAACTGAAGGAGTGAGTCTCTAGAAAATATCGTATGTAATGGAAAGGAAATAAAGATAATTCATGTTCGGGATTTTCTCCCTTAGAAGCACATTCTTCACTCAAAGAATTGGATATTTCTTGACGCCTAATACATAGAAACAGAGGGAACAACACTAAAAGTACATAAAAAATAATAAGACGGCTCTTGAATGACAAACAAACATGACAAATAGAATCATAGGAAAAATATAGAGAGAAGAAATATCATATTAATACAGGAATATGTGTACCTCTCTAACTAACATTCATTTTATCAACACTAAAATATTTTCTTTTGTTCCTTGAACACAGTGCGATTAAGAAAAAGAATAGGATACATGACTCTTTTCTATGTTGTATCAAGTACAGAAGGGTTTGCGTGTGTGTTATTTAAGAGCTCATTAATACTGCAGTCCACACTCTCTCATAGAATATTCATTAATTAGAGGTAAAGATTGATTATTCTACATGATTGAATACCATGCGACATATATGTAGATTAAATTTAAAAAAATATCTTCTAAATTATTTTAATCGATTTTAAACAACACTTTTTGCTTTGTCTTGAATGAGATTCCGAATGTTGCGTGCAACGATACGCACGAGATAAAAAGTTCATATTTATGATTTGTAAGATAATAACAGTTCAAGAAGGTACGAAGATCTAATGAGTCTAATTGAAATACTGCTAAGAAGGCAAATGATTGTATCCATTAGATCATTAGTTGAGTTCTAAAATAATTTTTTGATCATCTTTAAAAGACATTGCCGTATATTTTAAGAAACTCAGATATAGATAGATGAATAATTACATTATTCGCTAAATCCTAAAGCATACTTATTAGACATAGTGTATTTATACTTTGATCTCATTAAGATGAACTTGTTTTAAGAATAAAAAGTGTCGCATATATAAAAATTATCATACTAAATCGAAATAATTCTTCATTAGTTATACTCAAATAAGTACACTCCTGTTGGATTTCCAATTTAACTTTCGTCTCCCCACCGCAGAATAGAAACCCAGTGGGTTTCTATTACGACTAACTATTTCTTCTGTATTGTAGCCATGTTTTTTCATTTTACTTATAAAACAGAGAAGTGTTACATAATTGATATATCGAAATCTTCAAATGACGAGTCCAATTTCCGAATACCTAAAATAGTTTCCATGAAATCAGAGACTGATTATCAATTATGTCCCAGTTTTCTATTACTAAGTAGACAAAGTAATGAGTTCTTTACACTATTTTTAACATTCACATACTCATGTGTCTCCAATACTCGAAGGATCCTGATAGGAATGCGAACAGTTATGGTTAATACAATATTTTGTCTAATAAGTTGCCGAGCTTCAGAGAATTTAGCAATGAAACTTTTATTAGAATGTAAAGATGTGATTTTGTGAAGCGACTTCACGATAAAAACGTGTACACAATCCAGAAGTGAAAGAAGATACATTTTAATTATTTTAGTAGAAATATAAAGTAAGCATTTGATTCACAAATAACAGTCTTTTTTTTTGGTATGTGATTGAATCTACAATTCCTATAAATCCTATAATTAATGATAATGCTACTTCTGGAATAAAATGTGCAGTCTTTTCGAGTTTTTTATATGAAAAAAAAAACTTCTTTTATGGACACACTATATACATTCGGATTCAGCGTGCCAAGATACATTTTATCATGTGTAAAAATTCAAAAAAAAATAATAACGGATCGAATTTAGCATTATGTCTACCTTATTCAATTAGTCACTGCATGAAGCAACAATTTATTTATTCTTAGAATCAAATTTAAGATTGATGATCAGTAAGAATGATTCTCATTGATTCATTTTACTTCTAATCTAATAAATATCTTTTCATGTATGTTGACACCGGCTGAATGCCATTTTCTCTTATTCAAGATATAACATCTATAAACAGCTAAGCTGCAGTGACAGAAAAACAAAATATGTTTTGTTTCCTAATTATATGTCGACAGAAGACAAACGTAGTTCTATCATTTACAATTTCTGTGTTTTGTGACATGCAGTTGAATATCAATATTTACACATATACAACTATATATCGATCGTATTATGGATGACATTCCAGGCAATTTTCTTATTTATTTGTTTTAGAAACGCAAATATTATTTCACCGATATTATCTAAAAGAATAACCGAAAGTAATCAGAGACAAAAAATAGCAACTATAAATGAATCGAGATTATTCCTTCTCTTATTCAAAACTAAGTAAGTACAAAGAAATCGACATACACAGTATGAGTTCAGCACAAAAAAGTAAATTTTCTAGAGACATTGTATTGTTTTTGATAACATTAGTAATTTTTGTTAATAGGTACAAAAACAGAACAAGCAGCTGCTATCGCCAATGCTAATAGAATTGGTCAAGAGACACCAGATAGTGATCCACGCAAGAAAGCCGATAGAGAAAATGAAGGTCATCTTTCGGGCAGTCAATTTACTATTGCTGAAACTCCTGCTTTTCATGTCAGTGCAACAGTCGGAACCAAGAAATGAAACATTGTGCTATTGAGTAACTAACAATTGATTTTCTATATAAACGAGCATTTTTACCAGTGTGCATATTCAAATATTTTCTATGTAAAGTAAATCCTACCTATTGCTCTAATTTCATATTTGCTTTCGTGAATTTAAAATTTTGCATATTTTATCTGTCGATCAATAAACTACAATAGATGTGGGTGAGTTTGGGTTCATCTTATCTTAAGTCACACCCACATCCCACATTTATGCTATAGACAACTTAGAATTTTTATCTTTGTTCACTTTAAAAATAGTGCCACACTATTTCGTATGCTTAACAAAGCACACAAGACTGAAAGTGATGACATTATTGAAGTAAGCACTTGTATTTTAATTCTGCTTTGAACAATTCTGGGCAAAAATAAAATAATAATTTTGGGGATG